GTGGAGGGAGGCTTCACACACAGCAACTGTTCCCCAGGCAGAGCGTATGGTGATCAGGAGGCCGCTGTTGCTTGAATCTGCTGCGTTGATTTAAAGGCACAAAATACAACACAACAAGGCACAACGTACCAGGCACTAAACACTATTGTATTTACGATATTACTAACCCCAAATAAAGGTGGCCTCCTGAGCTAAGAGAGTTGAGAGATAAGGGGGAAAGAAGAGAAAAAGGTAGAAGAGACAAAAGAAAGAAAGAAAAAAAGGAGTGCAAAAATGAAATTGGGAAAAGGAAGGGGAAAAAGAGGAGGAAAAAAAAAGTAAGAGAGAAAAGAGAATGAAGTATAAAAGGGGAAGAGACTATTTATATGAGGAGAAAACTCCTATAGGTCCACCACTAATACCAACAAATTACAGCACCAGATTCCTGGAGATGAATACAAACTACAAACAACCAATAATATCAAGCGACGCAAGGGGAAACAGAAACACAGAAATAACCAGGGGAGGGGGGGGAGAGGGAGGGGCAGGAAAATAAAAAGAATAAGCAGTCTAACCTCACAAACAATTCAAAAAAAACCCCCAATATACTCGTCAATCAAGCAAACAACAATAACACAATAGAGAGAGAAAAGAAGAAGAAGAAGAGTAAAAAAAATTGGATAGTGAAGGAAGATAAGGGAAAGGTGTATAAGGATTTAGAACAGGGGATTGGACGTAGGATATATAAGCAGGGTTAAATTTTGACAGGGGGTAAAAAGAATAGGGAAAATCAAAAGCTGGAGTAGGGTAAGAGAAACAGGACAGCAAAAGGGAAAAAGTGGGGAAGATTGTTTAGCACAGAGGCAAATTGAGGTAGAGAACAATGTTGCTAAAGGAACGATGAAAATAGAATGGAGAACATTAGTCCCAAAATAAAATAAAGACAAAATAAAATGACACTTAAAAGAATGGTAAAATGGTAGCGGTAAAAATACTAGTCAAAAATAAAAATGTAGTAGCTGAAAGGGCAAAATCAGGTGATGGAGAAAAAGAAAAAAGAAAAACAGAAAAAAAAATGTTTTCTTAGTTAACAGGAGAAAAAGTAATTTAAAAAAATAAAAATAAAAATGTGCAGTAATGCAGGTGCTTCAGATCTTCTACTCTTCTTATTGGCCCGCCCGGAATTCAGGAGAATGTTGAGTTTCCCTCTGGTACACTGCTCCTCCGTGTTGTAAGCCACAGTCCTGATTTTAAGGCCGGCCGTAAAATCCCCTTATTGCCTTATCTGTATTTACAGAAGAGTCAGTTCGTGGCTCTGCCTCTTGGTGGCAGTGTTTCTGGATTGACCTCCGAGGCTATAAGTTCTCTCCAACCAGGAGCTCTGTGTTGTACCTGAACCAGCTCCGCCCAGAGCTGGTTCTGCAGGCGCCACTCCCAGCTCTGTTTCCCCGGCTCCCCAAAAACAATCTTCCCCTACAAGCTCTGCTAGTGACCCCAACTGGGCAATCACATCCAATGGGGTCAACAATCAAACTCCCAGAAGTAAGAGGAAGTGTGTAAACAAGAGCCTGGGAAGCTGTTCGAACTCGCAGGGTTCCACCCTCCAGAACTGCGCGAAATGTCTGCGCGTTATGTCTGCGCGCGCTCAAGACCCTGGCACCAAGTAGCCGGCTATCAGGGAAACTCTGAGGTAGCCCTTTTTTGCATCCAGTCCAATTATGGGCTCATTTATAGTGTTACCTTCTGGCAGCAGCCCTGCGGGAGCCCTCCCCACTTGCGGATTGCCCTGGCCTCTATGTGCGCGGATTTTGGAGTGCGCAGATTTCCCCCTGCGCCTGCGCGCGCGTTTCTCGCTCCAACCTGAACTGCAAACCGCACCTTTGGGGTAAGTCTAACCTTTCCGTGGAGGGAAGCAGGTCTCCGCTGGGCTCTTGTAGTCGCGCTGCTTGCGAGTCGTTGCCTCCGGGTTGGTAGGCGCTGGGTTAGTAGCCGTTCTCTGGATGCCGGTAACCGGTAGCCGCAACCCAAGATGACGCGGTCTCGCTGCTGCGCTGGCGCCCAGGGGGAGGTTTCAGCCTCAATCTCTAACCATCCGCATTTTTTAGGAGTTCTCTGTCTTTCCTGGCTGCAGACTGCCTCTCAGCTGAACCTCCCCAGCTTGATTGGGCTGATTGTTACCCGTTTCAGCTGCTCGCCCCTATCTGCTCCGGGATAAAGCACCAACACGTCCGTCTAAGCCTCCGCCATTTTTTTCTCCTGTCATTATTTCTTAAAGCAGGTTTTCTATTCCTTGCTCAGCTTCTTCTACTTCTGAGACCCCTATTATGCAGATGTTGCTTTGATGTTGTCTGGAAGCTCCCTTAAACTCTCCTCCTGCTTTTTCTTTTTACTTTTTAAAGTCTTTATTGTTGAAAGTATTACGTATGTCCCATTTTCCCCCATTGATACCCTCCAGTCCGCCCCCACCCCTGGCCCCAGGCTTTCACCACCCCC